TCGCACACTGCAGCATCTTGGCTAGTAACTTCTGTGGGATTGTGCTTCAAAGGAAAGTCTGGGGGGGGCACGTTCCAAAATTGGGCTCCTACTTACATCCATGGATACTTACTGTCTATTATTGAAAATTGCTGTTACACTTCCTTCAAGATTGGCTGCTGAAACACTGCATCCAGCTGCTAACAGCTGGGGTGCTGGGGAATATAATGCGTGTGCTGAGCCATTTTCCTGGAAACCTTTGAGATATCTCAATACAGTCTTAGGAGGGCAATAATTTTCACTCAGGATACCTTCTTTTTGTCAGCTTCCTCTGCCAGTGGTGTCCCTCTGATGTCTCATTTTGTGGAAGGAAGTAGAAAGGCTTGTTGCAAAAAAGAGAGGATGCTGCTTTACCACAAAAGATCTGGCAAGTGCTCTGTGGGTTTCAATTCATCATGAGTAGTGCATGATCAAAAGAGCAGCTTCGTTCTTTTCCTGTATCAAAACAAGGGAAGCTCAGAGGAGCCTAACTGTTCCCATGCACGCAAGGCAAGAGCTGGATGAACGCAGCACAACCTTATCAAACAGAAGAGATGAGCTCCCTCGCTTGCTGTTAGCTTGCACAGGGCTGTTCATTGGCTGAGCCCTGGAGTGGCTGAGCACTGATTCACAGAGATGTTTGCGTGTCCATCAAAGCAGTACACACCATGCATCTTCAGAAGATTCACAATAGGAAAAAAGAATACTTCATTCACCATTTCTGCACTCTAACACGTCAGTATTTATTCCAAAGGCGCTGCACAGAATGCTTTTCTCCCAGATATTGTACAGCAAATGATGGAAATGGACATTTTCAACAACTCATAGGCTGAATTTTACCTTAGGATATTACTAAGCTAACAATTATTACTCTAACAATTATGCCCACATAAGACACAATCAGCTGGCAAGGAATACATTGACAGAAGATGAAAAAATATAATTAATATTTCTGGATTGTTTGTTTTTTATCTTTCTGTCCTAACAGCACCATTAGTGCTTGGTTATCTTAGGATGGCTAATTTGTTTTTGAAAGAATCTCCATCTGTGGAACATGTTTTGCTAAATCTAAGCCAAATTTGGTAGAAAGGAATTGTATTTTTGCATGCCAGAAAGCAATGTATTTCCTGTTAATTTTGCAGACATGGCTTCTAATTTTCTGCCCAGTTAATTGAGCTCAGCTCAGTTAAAAGACAGTCATTACCAAAACCTCCTCTAAGCTGTCACTATAGGGAGAAACAAGAACTATTTATTAGAAGTGATTAGATTTTAATAAAAGAGGAAAGAGAAGTGGATGTGGGTTTCTTAGGAAAGAAATTTTTAGTTCTTTCTTTTGCCAAGAGAAGGGAAGGTTTTACAACTTTGAACCATTCCATAATGCACAGCACAGGACAATCCAAAAAAAAATGAAGAGGGGGATATTGGACTTCTTGCCTTTAATTTTATTGGCTGCAATAAAAGTGCTCAGTGTCCTCTTGGGTACGATTTCTCCAATGCTGAGCAATGCAACATCGGATTAAGTATGGCAAGGTGTGAAGAGTTGGAATCTTCAGGTGCTAAATTCTGAAAGGGCAAGGGCTGCCTTTCTGATTCAGCTGGGAGACCTCTTGCATGGCAAGGCAATGTATTTCATCTCCTTCTGTGTTCAGCTGTAGGCTGAGGGGAGCTTGTGCCTGGGACAGCAATACTGCAGCATGTCACAGAGGTACTTCCATGCTTAGCATCACAAAGCAGCTGCTGATTTTGTTGAGGCTTTTGGCAAATCCTTCACCCCATGAGCAGGAATAAGAGTTCTGTTTATCTCCTCTGCAGATTCTTTGCCTTGTTAAAACTAAATGAAGATGTTGAGTTGTAGGTGCTATGAATAATCCCTCCTACGTACATTAAACACCACATACACAGATCTGAGCTCACAGTCACAAATTGCAAATTGTGCACATTGCCTTCAGCGTCACAACTGTGTGCTCTGAAACCTCCAGCAATTTCTGCTTTCTTAGAAATCTTCCTGGCAGGTAAATGGAAGGAAAATGGGCAGATGTGTGAACAGACACACGTGTTCATGGACCATCAGAGGGAAGGGTCTCCCTGCAGTCAGGCTTGGGTAAAGCAAGATTCTGCCTCTCCAGGTGCTGATATGAAGCTGTAAAACCCAAGAAAACACCACTGTGAACAGGAAAGGAAGAACCAGGCTCCAGCTTTGCTCTTGGCTGTTTTTCCTCAAGGGATGACATGCAGGATAGCTGTGAAGCCAGGTGCTCCCTGCAGCAGTGTGCAGCACATCCCACTGCTTGTGCTGAGAGCTTCCATGAGAGATGCTCAGTTTTGGGCTGCTTACAGGAAAGCACAGCTTTCAGCAGAGCCTGATGGATGCAACATTCGGAAACATTGCTTCTGAAAGCTCAGATCTCTTCCTAACTATTTAAGCCATTTGTACAGAAAATGGAATTGAGGTTCACAAAGCAGCTGGGTGTTGTTGCTTTTTTCCTTGAGAAGCTTACATTCTACATCTGTAAATTAACACAGCTGCTCTCAGTTGGTGTGGATGAAGCAGATTGCTCTGCTGTGTGGCTGAGCTCTTACTAGTGGGTGAACCTTAGCTATATTTAAGAGCTGCAGCATTTATGCTCTCTAAGCATAGATGGTTTTGTCTGTGGAGGGGGAGTTATCTTTGTGCCTATATTTCTATAACTTTAAGGGATTGGGTGGAACCTCAATGTGGTTTGCTGTTAGCAACCAAATAGGGACCTAGCAGGCTTAAGGCAAGGAGTAAACAGTGCTTTGTGCTGTTAACAGAGGAGCGAGAGGGAGAATAGGATTGTGTCTTGGATCTCGTTAGTCTGTAAAATAAATGAAGTGGTATTTATGACTGTTTATGGAAACTCCTCAGAGCTCTGCCATTAGGAGAAAAGGCGTTCTCTGTTCTGAGTTGTGTTTTTTCCTAGCCTACCTGGAAATGATGTACTAAGGTAGGCTGTAACAACTGAAGTGTAACCTGCTGAGCGTTTCTTACTGGAACCATCTGACCAGCTCTGTGTTAAGTGAGTGTTTCTAACTTCTAAGCATTTACCTCAAGTCCTCCCTTCCCCTGTGCCTTGTAAAAAGAAAAGCTAGTAGAAAGAAATTGAGGAAACTTAAGAGGAGGGAATAGGAGGTCTTCTGCAGTGGCTCCATTATAGTGCACTGAAACTTCTATGTTAACTTCACTGTTATTTTTTTTTTTTTAGCTTGTATTTATTTTATAAGCACATCTAGGAAGTTGCACTTAATTCTCCAAGATACAAGAATTAAGCAATGCATCATGTGCCTCAGGATGGAGTTTTCCAGGACTATGGGCTGTCAGGTGAGCTGAATGTGAGGAGCAAGTCCTTCAGCTGTGTATGCCCAAAGGGACAAAGGTTCACTTGAACAGCCAAGTTAATGCAGAAGGGCTCAGGCTGGTGCCATAACTGCTGGGTCTCAGCAATGATGCCCTTCCTTTGAAACAGAAACCTGGAGCTGGTGTGTGCAGGTATGGCAGGGAGGATCCCTGATCCTCTTTAAAGCCCCTGTGAATCCTATAATATTTTTCAAAAAGGGAAATAATGTACTGTTTGTGCTTTGTGTTCTTTGCCTTGAATGTGTGTAATGGAAAGCAATGGCTTCTGCTTTTGTAGGGGCTGCTGCATGGCATCCACACTACTTTCAAGTGAGCAAACCAATGGTGGACAAAAGTATTTGTCCAGCCGTCTGTGGTGTTAATGCAATGATTTGGTTTGAGAGATGCCACGAGCTCATTAAGTATCTTTCTGCTTATATGTGCCATCTTCCTGAGAGCTACTGGGCTGTCCAGGTGCAAGGGGAGACCCTCAGCTGTTCAGCATCACTGATGAGCAGCATCCCAACTCCTGCCTCCTAGGCCAGACAATTAAAGCCCTGGTAGCATGCTTTGCCATATGTTGTATGTTTTTGAAAAACAAAAACCACGGTGAAGATGGGTCATGTATGGGTTACCTGTCTGCCCAGTGCAGTCAGGGCAAAGTTGCAAAGCTTTTGCAGAAGTGAATGTTGCTATGAAACCTAGCATTGAAACGAATGGTACTTCAATAAACTTGTGAACGTAGGGGTGTAGACACACAAGCAACTGTATAATATTTTGTTGCCCTTCATACAGCTGTGCTCAGTTGTTGACAACACGGCTTGGGAGCAAGCAGATGGTTTTGCCGTCCAGAAGTCTGGAATTCATTAGTGGAAATTTTCAGACTTTTTTTTAATTCCTTGGCTTTGCTACAAGTCAAAGCAAACAGAGCTGAAAATTCATAGCAAGCAGCATGAAAGAGTTTCTTTACTCTCACCAAAAAAGTGACTGGACAGAAAATCTAACACTTGAATTTCTTTTTCCTGGTTTGCTTTATCTATAGGGGGGAACTTTACAGAGGAGAAAAACTCTGAAGAACTTCTCTGGATTTCAGGTTTACTTGGAGAACACCAACAAGATACTTGCTAGTAAAGATTCAGTTTGTGCTGATGTCTTAAAGGAAAGGGAGGGAGATGGGAGATATTAATTTACTTCCTAAAAAGTTTGAACTGTGTAGTTTCTCCAACAAGGATCTGTTCTCCTACTGAAAACACAAAATCCTGTACAGAAATAAACTGTATGGTGATTGTTGATCTGTAATACCCTGACTTGGGATGGGAGCAAGGCTCACTGGATGTATTGCTCGGGGTTACCCTATGTGGGGGCAGCAGCATCTCCCCATCTCCTGGCAGCTCATTTCCCTTGAGGTCTGTGCCCTGAAAATGCTCCAGGAGCCACCTTTCCCAGCAGCCTACAGATGAGAAATGTTCCTATTCCCTATGGCACTTTCCTATCCTGTTACACTCCCCCAGTGCTACATTGCAGGGGGAGCTGGGCTCTCATCCAGGGCCAACAGCTTTTCTGACAAATAACAACTTGGAGGGCCTCTTTTCCCATACGTAAAGGGAAGGTAAAGAGAGAGAGAGAATGTGCATGTGAAACCTCATCTACTAAAGTATTTTGGCACACGTGAAGTTCCAACGTGAACTTCTGAAAGCTGCATGAGTTGTGAATGCTGAGGTGCTTCAGAGGCATCTACAGTCTGGACAATGTTCTGAGGCTTATGTCAGCGCAGGCTAACAAAGCTATGCTGCTAACAAAGCTATGCTGTGTGGGACTTTCAAAGAGTTGGGTAAACTTCTTTGGAACTGGGAGACTCAGTTGATTGAAGGAAAAATTGCTGTTTCCTCCTTCTCTGTCTGCCTGGATTTCCTGGCTGAGTTATGTTTTCTCCTCCTATGCAGACACAGAGGGAGCAGATCCCATGTGTCATAGCATCCTTGAAGCAGAAGTCACGTCATAAAGGAGCTTCTTCTGATGACTCTCCCCAGTTGGACTGAGGTTAACACCTTGGCTGCCTGCATCTCTGGTCCATAGCATGGAGAAGGTGCTGTGCTTCTTCACTAAACATCTGTGCTCCTTGCGCCTCAAGAGCCAGTAAACAATGTGACTCAGAAAATGAAATCAGTTTTTTTTTTCTCTTTAAACTGGAGCGTGTAATTATTGGGGATGACAATCTTCCATTTCTTGGAAGAGGGCAAAGAATCTTAGCTGGGATTTCCTTAATGTGACTCAGTTTAATACTCAATTCATGGAAATCAGTGAGAAGCAAAGTAGCTGTCTGGTCCTTAGTGCCAGGGTGTCAGTGCTGGCGTCCATGTGAGTAGCCAGCCTTCCCCAGAACGCATTGCTGTCACTTCCCAGAACTGAAATTCTCAGTCCAAAGCCAGCAGCATGTGACAGGCTGACTTCTTTTAGCTCTGCATGCTGTCAGTGAATTCAGAAGACTTGATGTAAGATATAATTATTCCATACTGGAGAATTCCTCGTGACTGTATGGTGTTCTAGTATATCCAAGTTAAAACTGCATTCATTGAAGTTGCTTAGAGGTAACCCACCTGCCATGAAAAACTGGGATTTGTAAGTGTACACATCCTGGTTAAACAATGGCCTCTTCATTCCTTAAATTCAACACCTATCTGACTGGGTAAATTTGCTTTAATAAGCCTTACTATAATGACATGGCAGAGGCTAAGCTCTGAATCTGAAGTGATGGTGCTGCATTCAGGTGCTCCTTTAGGCTGTGGCAATGCTGTGTGTAAAGCTGTACAACCAGCAATATAAACACTGTTATGGCTTGAAGATTTTAGCATGACTTCCCCTGCAAATGTGGGCAGGACTTCCACAGCTTGTGAAGCCAGAAGAGACTTGTGGCCTTTCCCATTCCCTGCTGCAGCCTTGCTCATGTCCTGCAGCATGAGTATCTGTGAGGGGTGGAGGAGAGCCTGGTGCATGCAGCTGTGCAAATATGGGCTGTGGCTGCTTTGGTTTTGTGTGTCAACCATTTCTGGACGATTTAATTGAGAACTGTTTGTGTTTGCTGACAAATTGTAGAGGTCAAAAAAAAAAAAAAAAAAAAAAAAGGCTTGGATTTGACCTGAAATAAAATGTAATGATGGGGGAGAATATTTAAGAGCAAAACCATTTCCTTTTAAGATACAACTAACGTATAGAAAACACAAATATCTGCCTCTCTGAAGAGTTCTTGTATATGGTTTCTCTTGAATTCTCCAGTGTGAAATGCAAATGTGCCCAAATCTGATTTTGACAAGGGGTAGGTTATGGCAGATCTGAAAAGTCCACAATTCTAAAAATAGAGACATAGAGGGGGCATCATAAGCTGTTGGGGGGGGGGGAAGCAAAGAAGCTGTAGCTGTTATTTGCATTCAAAATGAAAAAACATAGAAACAGAAGTTGCTGTGACTGCAATACTATGGGACTGGGATTGATGGTCTCTGTCCAGTTCACAAAGTTCACATCAAATGATTGAGACAAACCTTGGTAGGCATTTGCTCTGATCTCTCCCACCAACTGCACAGTATGAGCTCAGCAGAGGTTGGTGCCCAGGGTGAAGAGGGTGCAAAGATGTGCGATGTTGTCAGAGAGCACCTCTGGTTTGCAGGCAAGGAAATACTGTGGATCTTAGTGTGGCCCTGGTGGGAAGGTGGTAAGGTGGAAGGTCAATGAAAACTACAGCTGCTCTGAGTGTAAGACTGGTGCTTGGGTGAAGGCATCAACCTTTGTGTGCCCAAGCTCTTGTTTTCAGAAGTTTTTTCATTTAATCCTTCACTTCTAAAGAGTATTTTCTTATGCTGGAATCCAGTGGGTGACAGAAGGATTTTCAGCCTCTGTCCCATCTTTGACTGAAATCAGTATTAGAAATTTCAGGATGGTGCAAGAAATCCTTAACAGAAGATCTGTGAAATAACCCACGTGTGAGATGAGCTTCCTTCCAATCTCATCAGCTGTTGGGCAGTAGTGTCCCAAACCCACCATCTTAGATGCTAATGTCTTAAAGCTGGGGAACCTCAGGTCACCTGTGGGAATTCAGCAACGTTTGTGCATGAGGTTTTTTTTTACTTCCAGTCTCTTTTTAAACAAATTGTAACGCCATAACTGCAGTGCTAAATACAGCAGTCCCTCACCTTTATTTTAACCACAAACAGCATTAAAAAGAGAAGAAGGAAAGTCTTAAGTTCTCAATAGGTTGCCTTCTGATACTTATCTTGAAATAATAAGGGCGGTGGATTTGAAAGTGTGAGGTAAAGCCAGATGCATCTTGTTACACGGGCTGTTTGTAGACAGTTGGATTGTTTTATCTTCATCTGGAACTGCGGATACGAGGAGCTCTGCAGAAGCACTTCGTCCTCCCAGCACCTCGCTCCCCTGCCGCTCCTCCCAGCTGCTCCTGCAGCAGTTTTTTACAGGGCAGAGGTGGCAGAAGCCATGTAGAGGGGCGTGAGGGTGGGGGAAGTCAGGTCTTTATTCAGCCCTCCCCTCTCTTGCTGTGTGGATTGTGCTGGGATGTGTGCGGGAGAACAGCAGGTTTTGATTTGCAAAATCAGAAGCTTCTTGCCAGAGAGCTGTCTAAAGGGCAAACCAGAGGGCAGCCAGCAGCAAAACTATTTTCTAGCTTCAAAGGTGTTCCTTTCAAAGGCCAGTTTAAACCCTTGAAGTATTAAAGCTGAGAAAACAAATCAGGAGGAGAATGGAATGAAATTATTCTTACCAAAATAGCAAGCCAGATTCATGTGATTGGAAGCAGGAATTAACCAGAACAGCACAGGAGTTGCACTTCACCCTGCTGAATTCCTGCTGTTGAGAGCAGTCTGCTCTGCTCCCTCCAACCCCACACGGTCTGCCAGATCCTGTACTTAGGAAAAATAGTGAGCAGCTAGGCCTGAGAGCCAGAGATAGAGGGGTAGGGGAGGTACACAGGTACCCATGTCCCTCTATCAGAATTTCTCACTCCTGACCTCAGGACCACACAACATGCTGAGAAAACTAATCCTGCACCAAAAGCAAGCTTGCTTGAAAAAGCTACAGAATGCTTCCAAGCACTGCTTCTTCTCCCTGCCATCTCCCATTAAGTTCTTTGCAGCTCCTGCTATAAGGAATTTACATCAAAAACGTAGGAAACTCCTTAATGCTGTTTAAAACCCAGTGCTTTAAATGGGTGATTATTAAATGCACCTTTGCGTTTTTCAAGTATTGTGAATCCAGTTAATTAGCCTGTTTAGCTTTATGTTGCATATATAGCTCATTGTGGTATTTCTGCTGAAAAGCTGTCATTGAATTAAATCCTGAATGCTTAATTCTCTGTCGTAGGTCTGACATTGATTCACGTGTGCGTAACTCCTCCAAACATGAATTTCCAGTGTTTCCAAGCCAGCTGTTGGACTCGTTCTCAAACAGCTTGAAAGCCGTTAATAACCATCGTGTGCTCTTAAACTGAAGACACGGACTTCGACTTCCTTTTCCTAGACAAGTCCTACGTGAATTGCTCATTGACACCTCCACTGAGAGAACCATCAATGCAACAAACATCCGTTCCTCTCCTTTCAACTTCTCAGCAGAAGAAAGGTGTTGCTTTCACTTCAAAGCCCCTTGCTGATCATCTTCAGGACTGGCTGTGGAGCTGGGCTGGATGCAGAGGACCCGGCTGTGTCCTGTCCTGAGCACGCAGGCGCTATGCCATGCACCACTCAGCCTTCTTTGGGTGCCAGCAAGGTCAGCCCCTTACATTTATACTTTTTTCTCTATTTTGAATCTCAGTCAATTAAAAAGGAATGACTGTGGGTTGGCAGCAGTCAATCTGCTACCAGGTTAAGATGAAATGAGAGGAAAAATCAGATCAGGCTGGTAGCCCAAGTATTCCTGAAGATCTTGGTAGGAAGGAACTCCATCCTATGTTATTAAAACTGAAGTGGTGGCAAGACAGTGCCCAGCTTTTCTCAACACTGCAAATATCTTTCTTGGGAGTATATAAAGATGGCAGAGTATATAAGGCTTGCAGAAGGTGCAGGAGTCTATCTGAGGGAGGTGGTGGTGACCTGCGATGTACAAAGGCAGCTCTTGGTCTCAATTTTTACATTTTGAAGTAAGATTTGAAGGAATTCTCGTTATTGTTCCTTTTCTCCAATTTCTTTCTTCAGTGAGCTATCATTATTAACACAAGGACTGCTGCTGTTTATTTCAGTATGAATCTAGCTGCAGGTTATTAGTTCTCAGAATCTGCAGGCACCATTCATTCAGTAGTCTAAAAAAGGTGATGAACAAGGAGTTTTATAACCCAGCTCTGATGATAGAAACTGGAAAGAACTTCCATTTGCTCACCCACCACCTTCTGCATCACACCCAGATCCACTCACTTGTGCTGCCTCATAGGACAGTGCTCAAGCTGAGCGCTGTCACCAGTGAAAGGGCCATAAAGCAGTCTGGTCTACTGCCTATCTGCTCCTCCTCATTTTTTCCTAGTGTTTATCACATTTCTTCTATATTGCAGTTCACATTCATTATTACTTCATCTGTCACTATGTACTAGTGACAATGTCTTGGTCCTTTACTCTCTGGGGTAAATCTGTATTTACTGAAACTCCTCAGTAGGAAGCTCAGTCTTTTGGTGTCTAGTGCAGAAAAGAACAAGCTGCGTGGATGTGTATCTGAATCTTTTGGTTATGCAAATGCAGTTTGAAATGTTTGTCCTTGAACTGCTGCTGAAAGCTTTTCAAGGCAGATAATGAGCACTGTAAGAACAAGTACCAGCATTCGGCTCAGAAAAAACGTAAGCAGAAATCCTTCTTTTCAACCACGTGATGAATGATTTTCATTGCTCCTCATTTTTGCCTAACCGTGCCCCAGGCAGCTCCCTTGTTACTTGATTCTAAAGCAGGGACATAATATTCTCCTTGCTGTACTCTATTATTTCCCTCTTTTATTTTTGCTCACTTGTGCAAAGACAGAAAAAAGAAAGTAGCAGCTGGGCAAAAATTTCTGATCTTTAGAGCATTGCTTCATATTTGCATTCAGACTTTCATGTGAAATTGCATCACTTGACCTTACTCGCCTCTCAGCTGCCTGCTTCTTAGAGCATAAAAATGACTACTTTTGAATTATAGATTGTAAAAAGTACTAATTTTTTAAGCAGTCTCCTAAGAAGAGCACTTCACCAGGGTACAGCAGAATGGAGATACCCTGTTCATGTTGTTTATGATTGAGGATACTTTCACATGTTTTGGCTTGTAGACTTAAACAGGTTTTAATGAGAGATGGGATCATTCTGATAATCTCATTTGAGTGCTGCAAAATGTGTTCCTTCAAGCCACAGACTCACCAAAATACAGTATGTGTATTCTTTAGTACGCTTGCAAAAAATCTTGGAAAAGCCAAATGGCATTAGACAGATAAGCCTGGGAAGTGTTGACTGGTAATTAATCAAAGCGGCACATTAACCACTAATCAGTGCAATTCAGACTTTCAGTTGAGTCTTTTTTGTTTAGCATTCTCCATGGGAATATCACATGGGAAGATGAAATTTCTTGCATGAGTGAAACTTTGGGCTCTGATTTGTGATCTTTGCTAATTAGTGCTGCAGTGATGTCTTTAAAAAAACCCCACAGGGTTGCTTTCCCACTGCCTGTGCCACGTGTTAGCTACCACCCCAGAACCAGCAGCAGTGAGGTCTGAGTCTTCCCAGGTGCTGACACACCAACCCGTGAACGGCAACAAATTGAGATCAATGGTAGTTTAAAATAATACAGTGGAGCCTGAGGAGCAGATGGGCTGGCTATGAAGGAGGTAACCTTGGGCACTGGGAGGGAGAACAGCTGAAAGTGGTGAAACTTTGAGCTACTGTACATCTGTATTTGTGTATATTTCTTAGCCCCTGTGGTGGTTTTCTTAGAAAAGATCATGAGTTTGGTATGATGTGTAAAAAATAAAACACCATCAAGAGCTAACAAGTTACTAAAAGCCATGTTGTACAGAGAGCAAAAAAGACCTATTATACTATTTCATGTAAATAACAATGTCCTTTAATACACGTGGCTGGGATGAGTAACCTCCCCTTCCATCTGTGCTAGGCCTGGGGAAACACAAGACCAGAGGTTGCTTCAGAGGGGAGGAGCAAGGTGATCTGAAAACAAGACAAACTGGAATGGTGTCAAAACGACCCGCCTGATGGCACAGCGGGGGCCGCAGCGATGGCAAATCAGGGTCTGGTTGGCCCCATTCTGAGGGATGAAGGGAAGAAAACAAAAGAGGTTGGTGTCAAAGATGGTGCGTGCAGCCGTACTGCACAGACAGCAGAAGTACTCGTATTTCTTCTCAGGAGCTAGTTTAAAGCACAATTTTTGATAGCATACTGTTCTTTCATTTTATGTAACTTCCTCTAGAAACTCCTGTTCTATGTTAAGGAAGAGCCAAGGCTTTTAGTGAGTCAAAGTGCTGATGTTCTGATCTTTATTCTTCGTTCAACCTTACCATCAACAGCAAAAGTGACAAACTTTGGCACAATCACTCCCTTATGTTAAGGATTTTCTACAAGAAGAGATGTTAGATAAACTAAGCCCTTGCTTTCGAGTTTAAATACAGTGTGCTTGAGTCACGCGTGTTCAGACATTTGCCAGCAGCACGGCAGTTCCCCCAGCAGCGCTGCAAGGCCCTCATGCTCTGCTGTTCCTTTGCTCAGAAGAAGCTTCCTGAGATAAAACGCCACAGATTTGGTCAGAAAAGGCAAAGCTGTGCGGGTCACATCTGCACGGCTGGACATCTCCGTGCCCTGCCTGCGTCCAGCCCACAGGAGCTGGACAGTGCAGGACTCCGCGGTGCTTCTCTCACGAAGGGAGCAATGGCAGAAGGACCGCGCAACCCAGCTGGGAGCTCAGGCAGCTGCTGCTGGGAATCCTCGGCCGCAGGCAGAGGCCGATGGCCGTCACCTTTGGCCCTTGTGGCGGTGACGGAGCGAGCTGCGGAGTGTTTCTAAACGCTTGCGAGCGGGCAGGGCGCAGAGCACGGACAGCTTCCCCTGGCCAGCCGGGCGAGGGGCTGCCCGGCCCGCAGGCACGGCGCTGACAGGACGGCCGCCAAGCGGCACCACGGGGCTCCGCCGCTCCCCCTCAGCCCGACGGCCCCGCGCTGAGCCGAGCTGGGGGAGCCGGGCGGGGTCTGGGCGCGAGCCGGCGCGGCCCTCCGCCTCCGCCAGAGCTCTGCCCCCGCCGTGCACCCGGATCGGGGCCCCGGCCCGGCCAATGAGCGCGGAGGCAGCGTGGCCGCGGTATAAGAGGCTGCCGAGAAGGCGGCAAGCCCTCAGCCGGGCCGTCGGGTGGGAGCCGCGCTTCCTGTCAGCGAGAGAGGTTCGCCATGTGCGGTGAGTGAGGGAGAGAAAGGCGGCGCCGCGGGCAGCGCCAGCCCGGAGACCCGCGTTCTCTCCGGCGGCTCCGCGAAGGGAGCCGGACGAGGTGCTTTGTTCCGCGGGGCGGAGAGACCCTGCGAGGGGCGTCCATTTTGTGGGCATGGGGAGAGGGGCGAGCGGCCCCGCGGCCCCGGGCTCTGACTGTGCTGTGAGCGCTGCGCTGCTTGCCGGGCTGAGGCTGTGCGCGGAGCCCCGCGGAGAGACCGTGGTTTGCAAACAAAGGCGGTGATGGAGCCTCGTTCTTAGCTGGTTAGAGTTTATCCACCTTCCTTATCTCGAGAAGACAGCGAAGATAACATCTGCATCCGGTGTAGGATTGCTTAAGGTGTGCTGTGGGTGAGATTAAAAGGGCACGAAGACCGCTAATGCAATATATTCCGCTTGTGAGGGAAATGGAAGCAGAAGTTCACCTGTCCCCTCCCCGGGACTTCCCTTGAGCCTCAGAGGGAAGTTTTTTGTTGAAAGGAGAAAAACTTGCGCCTGTCATTTTTAGCAGTCACAGACAAAACCCTCTTTGTGAGATACAAAAAGCTGTTTTTCTCCCCAGAAGTGTTCTTTCTGAGCTAGATAGCTGTTTCCTTGCCTCCCCTTTGTAACCTCAAAAAGCGAGTTGCCTCGGAGCCTTTCGCTTGTATGGGAGCTGGAGGCGCTACCTGGCGCCTGTGTGAATCGGTGGCTGTCCCTGAAACCTCAGGTGAGAGATTGGCTCAGCGCACACCGAAGGTATGGGCTGCGAGTGAGGCACACCGAGATGGTGTCAGAGACTTGTGGTTGGGAAATGAGGGTGTTAACGCTGTTCAATGAGTTTGGTAGATCAGTGAGCTTGGGGTGGAGCGACTGACTCAGTGTGGAATGGCACCAAGCAGTATTTCACAAAGGCAGTGAGGCCACAGCGTTAGTTTGTTCCGTCTGTGTTTGGAGATCCGCCACCTTCAGCAGTAGCGAAACGGGCAAATATTGCAGAATAGGTGAGAGTAAAAAGTCCTGGGGAATCACTGGTCTGTTCCCCAAACTTTTAAATCTTGGCCCATTTAATGTGGTGGTTGTTAACCCAAAAGCTGTGCTGTATGTCCTTTCTACCCTGAGTATACAGAATCACAAAAAGTAGTTTAACTTGGAAGGGATTGATCTAAAGATCATCTAGCTCCAGCAGCCCCTGCCCTGATGTAGGAACTGCAGGAGTTTTTGAGGTTTAGGGATAGAAATATGTCCTGTGTTATGTTTCCTCTTGCTCCAGGTTGCACATGAAGGTTTGATGCCAGTATTCGCTGTTTTGAAAATGCATAGGTCCTTACGTACTGACATGCACGTGCTCTTCAGGAAATGAAGTTGAGATGTTATCATGCTCATGTATCTAAAGACAGGGCAGCAAAACTATGCAGATTTAAAAAAAAAAAAAAAAAGGAAAAAAAATCTTAAAACTGATTACCTATTTAAAAAAAAAAATCATTTTATCAGGATAGGAGGTTCTGTCTGGGACTGCTTCAGAGCTAAGTTTCTGGCATCAGCCATGTGTTTACCTCATTAAAGGCACCCGATTATTTAAAAAAATAATAATTATTTTTGCTCAAACTTCAAGTACAGGCTGCCCCCTTCTTCATTTTGGTGAAATCTTGCAATTGCAAGGCTTCTCGTGGAATTTTCCCACAAAAAACACTCAGTGAACATTTTTTCCTCCCCTCTTCTTGATGCTCAGCTTGCAATTCTGAAAGGGGAAACTTTAAGGTCACGGTGTGCATGCAGAGAGACATCCTTGCTTCCTGTGTCTGTAACAACCCTCTGTTTTGAGTGCCTGATCCTGAAGGTAAGCTGTGTTATAGTTGACGTAGTTTGTGTTTTTATGCAAACTAGGTAATAGTGGAAAGTTGTGAACTAGACTTAGCGTTGAGGTCAAGAGAGCAATGCCCTGGTAAAATGCTCCTGAGGTCATTTCATTGGATTATGTGTTTGTTTGTATCACTTAGGGAAGTATTACATTGCTTATGCTGTGCCAGCACTTGATACGTATCGCATCAGTATTGCATTAACTTGGAGAACACTTGGGTCTTTATTGGGGAG